CTCCATTTATGACAAACTTATATTCATCACATGAATGTAAGTTGTTTATGTTACTTTACCACTTTGCATAGTTTATCTCTAGTCAGTGTTTCAGTTTCATGTAGTGAGATTTTAGGATTTGACATATTGCTGGAAATAAGTAGAATATTCATCTAATCAATTTATGTGCATGAATATCAAAACATGTGAATTTAGGCACAATTAAATATGAAATATGACGCACATGAAAAATACATAAATCATGTTTTAATTTTAGGTGCCAACGATAATCTAATTTACCACAAATAAAGTGTACCTTTAGGTAGTCAAATTATTTCTAAATTGAACCGAGACTCCTCTCAATTAATAAATATAGTCAAAATATCTCATATTTTTATATTTATTAACTACCGTTATTTTAGTCAAAATAAAACTAATAAATTTTGATTATATCTTCATGAGTGTAAACCACCGTTTCAGATCCCATAGACTTAACTCCGGATTACTACCTTTGGGTAGTTAATTCGAAAATACATCCTGAAATCCTATCTCTAGGAAGCCAACCTTGTTATTGATCCGGCAAGAACACTCTCTTTTAGGAGGGCGATTCAATGTCGCCGCAAAGTCCTTCTCCGGATCTCACGGTGTTGCGCTAACGGTGGAGACCAATGGATAGTATTGTCATACAACCCTCTCCCACTCATTATTTTGCAAATATGTATTTTGTTTGAAAAACATCTCATGGTTTTCAAATCGAAAAATAAACAATTTATTTTTCGGATATGTGAAATTCTAAAATTTAACTCTTAAATTCAATTTCACATGTAACATTATTTTGCAAACCAATTTTACAACTTAAATCAATTTAATCATATTAAATCGATTTTAGCGCATGGTTCTTATTTTATTTTATTTTTCTAAAACCCTTTTATAATAAATAAAATAAATAATAATAAATGCGCGTGTATATATGACATGTTATAAAACATATGAGTAGGCACATTATATCTATATGGCATGTTATATGCATGGACATATAATATATAACTATCAACATAAAATATAAATATATGCAATCGGCTATTGAGATGGATTTGACTGGGTCCCATGGTAATTATAAATCACAACCAAATCAAATAAATAAATAATTACAATAATTATTTTCTTCCGTTTCATCAACGGATTTTCGATTCTTGAACTCTTCATTCTTTGGTTTCGTTCTTCGGGTCAGATTTCACCTTCTTCAGGCTCCGGAACTCTTCCGGCTCTATCGGCACACATTACGAGGATTTCAGAAAACCTCAGGTCCATTCGGGGTCCAATTCCCGAATCTGGGCTGCCAGCTGCGCACTCTGACCGCGCGTTGTGCGCGCCTGCGCGGTCTGATCGCGCGGACTGTC